ACTCTAGTTGCAGTGGCTGGTGATAGCTTGCTAGCCCTGTGTCTTTAACCCTGTGCTACCAGGGAATGCATTTCTCCCCACCCCCCAGCCCCCCATGACTAGAATTAAGGTGTTATCTAGGGCGCTTCCTGCTGCAGGCTTGGAGGGAGACTGCTCCCAGTTTCTGGGGGTGGGGGTAGCCAGCTCCTTGCAGGCTAAATGCACCCTCTGTCCAAGCTCCGCCTCTGTCATCCCTAGGCTTCATTCTCCATGTGGGCTTCTCTGTAGCCCTCGTGTTCCTGTAAGAACAGTAGGGGGTTAGAGTCAGGGCCCGTCCTAACCGCCCCCCCCCCCCATCCTGACCTCATCTGAGCTAGGCATGGCTGCAAAGACCCTGTTAGCAAGTAAGGTTACCTTCTAAGGTGCTGGGGGATCTGGATTTGGGGTGCGCTCTTGTTCATTGTATATATGAACCCTGTACATACACAGTATAGCGTCTGTTGTATAATTATCGCAAAGGGCCCATATTTTCTATAGCTTAATTCCCTAGGTTTCTCTGTGTCGTTCAGAAAGCATCTTACATTTTTGTAGAACATTCCACCGTAAAATATCACATCATTCACATTACCCACCTGCTCCTTCGGGTATGTAGATGGTTCCAGGCTTCACGATTATAAATGACTGTGATGAATATACAACTTCGTGGCTTTCTCTGCTGAGGCCCTTGGAGTGAATTCTTGTGGGGTGATTTGTTGAAATGGGTAAAGAGTAACTTTTTCAAAGACTCAGGATATATCTTACTCTGATACATTCAGGAAGACTGTGGCAATTTCCTATGCAGGAGTGGAGCCTTGCCCAGCAGACCCTGCAGGTCGGCCACAGGGTCTTGGGTGCTGGACAAGCAGGCAGGGACCGAGGCCCTTCCCTCGGGATCCCGGATGGTGGAGGTGGCGTCTCTGCTGTGCTGTTGACTATTCACATCCTTTTTCTTTTTCATCAACTTATTTTTTAAGATTTATTTATTTATACAAGAGCTGGGGTACAGGCCAGAGGTGCTGGGATGAGAGGATTCACCAGAGACAGAGTGGGGAGCAGAACAGGCTGACTGACTGAAGTCCACTGCTGAGGGGGCAGCGAGGAGACAGGAGGGGTCTGCTGCGCCCTGTGGTCATTCCCTGGCCGGGGATCGAACTCATGTTGCAGTGGGCTTCACGGTGCTGTGCTGTAACCTGTTCGTGCATCCTTCTTCTGAGTGACCAGTCTATGCCTCTTACCGCCTCTTAAGTCTCCCAGCCACTGGCCTCTACTTCCTGCGATGTCCTGGCCCAGTGCCCTTCCCTCTCATCCTCCTGGGAGTTGATCTACAGACACTTTCCAGTCTTCCCTTTTCCTCTCTGCCCAGACTTCAGCTACAGCCTTGCTCCATCTGAACTGCTTGCGTGCCTCTCTCCCCTAAGACTGGCAGCATGTTGGAGACAACATCCATCTTATTCCGATTTTTTATCTTCAGCACCTGCCACGAGTGCTCATAAGTATTTGTTGAACCAAATGATTAGGCTGTGACCCGGGGCTTTTCGCCATTCTCTGTGCAGCTAGAACTGGCTAGATAAGGGTATCTAAAATAAGGAGACTCTAAATTGGATTCTGATAAGAGCGTAGGATTTAATCCACGTATATTCTGTTTCCACTTGGCATTTTTTAGAAGTCGTTTTTCTCCAATAGTTCTCAGCTATGCCTATAGTTGAGATTGTGAACATCATCTAAATAGCGTCCCTGTAGCACTAATAAGCACAGTGACAATTATAATCATAGTGGAATAAAGACATTAAAAGCACTGAGACTGGGAAAAGACTCGCAATTGTCCAACATTTTAAGTCCGTATTGTTTCCGTTGAAATCGCTGACTGTACTTGCAATAAGCAGCACCAATTTTTGCAACTGGTCTATTTGGAAACCAATTCCCATTCAAATATCAACTACCAAGTGCAATTTAACGCTACTTAAGTACTTGCAAAAACTTGGTAAGTTGCAAAGACTAGAAACAAATAGACTTTAAAACAATTTGAAAAAATATGAGGGTGAACGCTTAAAAACTGCTTTGGCTGCAAGACACCCCTTATGAATATCTGTCATAAACTTTCCTGCGTGGCCAGGCTTATTTTCTCATGGGTACTGAAATGAGTTCCCGCTCCAGGTCTCCCGCCCCACTCTCCGCCCAGAGCCAGCCATCCCCGCATTATGCAGCTTTTTTCCTTCTGCATAACCAAAAAAGACTCCTTTCCACCTCCACCCCAGGCACACTGCTTTCAGCACTTCTGTTGCTCTTACTGATTCTGTGATGTGCTCAAGTTATTTGCGAGCGTTTTATTTTTCCCCCGCCGGCTGTAACACCTGCCGACCGACCGGGGCTGACACCCGTCACCTGAGAACTCTCTGAGAACTCTCGAGTGTGGCTCGTGGCCGGGTTCTGCAGGCACCTTGTCAAGGGCGCGCACTGGACTCCGTGTTTTGGGAATGGGGGCGCTCTGGCCCTCTGGCGCCTCAGCAGCCCACCCCTGGGCAGGCGATGCCATTTTGTTCAAGTTCTGCCCAGACCTCCGCGGCCCGGCGTGGGCGCGCT